GGTTTCTCTGTGTAGCACTGGCTGTCCTGGAACTCACTCTGTAGACCTCCAGCTCACAGAGGTTGGTCTGCCTCTGTCTCCCAAGTGCTGGGTTTAAAGGCGTGTACCCCTACACTCATAATTTTTTTTATTCAAAGTGGTAAAACAGCTGGGCAGTCATAGCACACACCTTTTAATCACTCAGGAGGAAGAGACAGGGGAATCTTACTGAGTTTGAGGTGAGCTTGATCTATAGAGAGAGTTCCAGGACAGCCAGGGCTGCATAGTGAGGCCCAGACTCAAAAAATAAAATAAAATAAAATGGCTAAACAAATTTTAGTGCTTTTAAAATTATTATAAAATTTTTAAATTATTATATTTTAATCTTTGGACTGGGAAAACAGATTTTATGCTGGGGTTTTGTGCACATGAGCGCACACGCATGATCATGGAGGCCTTGTATATCGGTGCTGCCACATGTGGGGGCCTTGAGTAGCCCATGCTAGTCTGAAATCCCTCTGCAGACAAAGACGATCTTCAATCCCTCACCGTCCTGCCCTGAATTCAGGATGCGGTGTGAGCTGAAGATGGAACTGAGAACTCTGCACCTGCGTGAGCTTTGCCCATCCCAGTACCTTTCTAGATCTTTCTCTTTGCTGTTTTGTTTGAATTCCTGCTCTTCAGTCCATTTTGTTTTTTTTTTCTTTTTCCACATAGTTCAGAAATGGTGCCGTCTTCTCCTATTTTTTAATTCCTTTATTAATTATGATTTATGTGTTTAATCTCCTAGAATCGCCGCCATCCGGTGTAAGCCTATCTCCTCACTAGGCTGCGAGCGCCCTCTCTCGCCCCCTGCAGGCCGTCCTGCACACGGCGGGCACAGGCTCCCTCCACTTCCCCTCCGTGAACTCTGCCAAGCACCTAGCTCTCCACACCCTCCTGGTGACTCCTCCTCCGAGGGATGGGAAGCTTTGAATTCTGACACCAGAGATGGGTTCCTTTGGGCTCTTTGCTCTCTCGCTTCCTTTCCTTCCTTTTCTTTCCCTCCCTCCCTCCCTCCCTCCCTCCCTCCCTCCCGCCCCCCCCCCTCCTTACCTTCCTTCCTTCCTACCTTTTTCTTTCTTTTCTTGATTTTGTTGTTATTTTAATTAAAAAAAATTAAACTCATTTATGGATGCTGTATTTACATTAGTTTCTCCTCCCTCTCCCCCTCCTCCTCTGCCCCCATCCCCCATGCCCTCTCAGGTTCATGACCTCAGACACACACATACATATATTCACACATACATGTATTTATACACACAGAAATGTGTACACGCATATACATATATTCACACATGTACACATCCATAGTCTCACATTTATGTATATTCACACACATACGTATATTTGTGCACATGTATACTCACATACATATATTTATGCACGCATACATGTGTATACACATATGCACACATGTACATGTATTCACACATACACACATTTACATAAATTCACACATATACACACATACATATATCCACACATGTATGCTCACACATCCATATATTCACACTCACATATATTCACACATATATATCCTACATTATACATATATTCACATGCATATACATCATATATTCACATACACACCAGCTGAGCCCATCTGGTGTTGCTCATGTGTTTAGGATGGAATACTTGGGACTGGATAACCAATCCTGGGGCTCATCCCTGGAGATAACCAGTTTGCCTTCCCTCAGCACCCATTAATTGACCGTAGCTCTCCACTGAAGTGGAGACCCACGTAACGTTCCCCGTCCACACCAGCACGTCAACCAGTGTTGCCACTGTTCCGGTACTGGTAAGTGTCATGGATGCAGCTTCCTTGTCCATCTAAGACACTCTCTAGCAAAAGGCCTTCCTGCCCCTTCTGCAATGTTCCCTGAGCCAAGCTTGGGTGTCAGGGCTACATTGCAGACCTATCAGCAGGGCCAGGGCGTGCATGGTCACTTGATTCACTGTATTTTGTGGTTTTCTGAGATGGTCTCTGAGGATGGGTGAGAGCGACGTTCACCTGTAGCTCTCATACATAACACACAGGCAGCGCCCTGCAGGACGGGGTGGGAAAGGCTTCCTGAAGAGGACTCCACTCACTGGGGAACCGAGGCCGACAACTGTCAGCTGGGACCTCACAGAACTAAAAGTGGAACAATCAGCAAGGACAGACGGAGCCACCGAGTGGGACAGGGTCTGCCAGCTGTGATCTGATAAAGGATTAGCACTCGAATATATAAAGAACTCAAAAAACAGAGTCAAGAAAACAAATGACCAAATTTGCAAATGGACTATGGATTTGAACAGAGAGTTCGCAAAAGAAGAAATGAAAGTGGGTAAGAAACAGCTCAAAAAATGTTCACTGTCCCTAAACTTAGGGGTTCAGCATCAGAACAACTGTGGGGTTCCATCTTGCCTGGTCAGAATGGGAAAGACAACAGAACAACGGACAGCAAATGCTGAAGAAGGTGCGGGGAGAGGAAACCCCCATCCGTTGTTGGTGGATGGCCAGCTGGTGCAGCTCCTCTGGAAATCAGTGTGGGAAGTTTTCTGAAAGCTAAAAATGAATCTATCGTATGACCCAGCTATACAACACCTTGGTATTTGCCCAAAGGACTAGACATGCTAACCCACAAACACTTGCTCAGCTATGTGAATTCTGCTCTATTCACCATAGCTAGGAGATAATAAAAGCAGCCTAAGTGTCCCTCCACGATGAAAGGATAAGGAAATTGTGGTACATATTCACTATGGGATAACTATTCAGCTATGAAGTAAAATGAAATCATGAACTTCGCAGGCAGATGGGTGGAAATAGAAAACAGCATATTAACTGAAGTAGCCTAGGCCTAGAAACAAAAAAGGTACTTTGTATGTGTAGGGAGGAATCCTAGCTCTAAATTTTCAGACTGAGTAGAAAACCTGACTATACACAGGACCCAGGAAAGAACAGAGGCGTAACAAGTCTTTCTCTGCCTCGCCAGTCGGCTCCCCAGTAATGATATGGAGACATCCTATTAGTTATGAATAGTTACTTACTAATAGTTATTACTATTAGTTATGAAAGCTCAGCCTATAGCTTAGGCGTTTCCCAGCTAGTTCTTATAACTTAAACTACCCATTTCTATTAATCTGTGCTTTATCATGGGACGTTTTACTTTTCTTTCATTCCGTATGCCCAACTCCCTCCATGCCTCGTTGGCATCTCCTCTGAGCCTTGATTCTCTCCTCCTACTTCCTCTCCTGCCTGGCTCTTTATTAAACCAGTCATAGCCATATATTTTCACACAGCGTACAAATATCCCACAACACAGAGGGACCATGGCGGAAGCGAGGGGCGGAGAAGGAGCTGCAGAAGTGGGGAGAGTTAGGACACCGCTGTAAAGGAGGAATTGGGAAATTGGGGGGGATGTAACTGGGGAGTGGGGAGGAAGTGCAATTCAGAGGGAGAAAGGAGAAGGGAAAAGTGTGAGTGTGGTTTAAATAAAGTCATGAGACTTGGAGTCCTCATGCCCACCCCACAACAGTCATAAACAATTTAATAAAATCCCCAGCACCAGACATGAGAAACATCTCTTCAAGTTGTTCTTCAGGGGAGCCCAAGAGTCTCTCCAAACATTACATGTCAGGGCCAATGCATTAATTCCACAGGCACAAGGAAAAAGACCACTGATCACAAATTAGAGCCAAATCAAAGAAAGCTCAATTCTGTGTACACCAGAGCTGAATCAGTGGCTGTGTCCCCTGAGGTGGGTTCCAGAGAGTAGCCCTGAGCTAGTTTCTCAAGCTCCCTCCATAGGGAAAAACTTCAGGGTAGGGTATTTTGCAAGTAAGCCTGGTCACAGAAATGAGACCAGAAGCTGAGGAAGGCCACCCCAAACATTCCTTATAGGACACCGGATAGTTACAGGGACGGGCACAGGTCAGTTCTGAGAAACAGAAGCTTACGTTTCACAATGAGCAGAAACCTAGCTGAGCTAGAATCTCGTAGCAGCTCTGGCTGGCTGCTCAGACACTCTTGGTTTCACCACAGAACTTGAAGGGAAGATCTTACTGGTGACCATACCGTGAGTTCAGACACAGGGTACTCTCTGAGGACAGGCTCTCGTAGTAGCTCAGGGTGCGGCGCAAAGCCAGGGAAAAAAAGCAATCCGTAGCCCTACGGTGCTGGCTAGTTTCATGTCGACTTAACACACCTGAGAGGAGGAAGCCTCAACTGAGACAAGGCCTCGCTAAGATTGGGCTGTAGGCAAGCCTGAAGGCATTTTCTTAATTAGCAACTGATAGGGAGGCCCCAGCTCACTGTGGACGGTGCCATCCCTGGACTGATCCTGAGTTCTATAAGAAAGCAATGAGGGGCAAGCCAGAAGCAGCACCCTCCACGGCCTCTGCGTCTGCTCCGCCTCCAGGTTTCGGCCTGCTTGTGTCCCGGCTTCCTTCAATGACGAACTACAACGTGGAGATGTAAGTTAAACAAACCCCTTCCTCCTCACGTTGCTTTGGCCATGGCGTTTCATCACAAGGATAGTAACCCTGAGCAGAACACCTACCTGGCTGTGAATAACAGCAAAGGGCGGCACGGCAAGATAAACCCGAGGATGCAATAATGGAACTTACCTGTTGGAGGCGACCAGCGGCTAACTGTACTTAAGCCCCACTCGGCAGGAGAGAATGCGCGCCAGGCACGCTAGCCTAAGTACCAGCTGCTGAAGAGGTGGAGGGCCCTAGAGGAGAGTCTACTATGGCTGTTTTCTCAAACAATATACTGTAATTGCCTGGGGATTTTTTTAGGATTAATTTTTATTATTTTTAATTCCGTGTATGTCTGGGATTGTGGCCATGACTGCAATTGTCTGCAGAGGCCAGAAGAAGGTGCCAGATTCCCCAGAACTGGAGCTCCCCCTCTACCAGACTCCCCCTCCTCTCCTCCCTCCACTCGGCCACACTCCTGCTCCCTTCTGTCACAAGCAAGGAGGAACTTAGGGAAGTTGGTCTAACAAGTTCTATTTCATTACTCCAAGCTCCTGACTACGGTCCTAAGCCTGTCTCCCCAAGGCCGCTCATCTGTGCAACATCTCTTAGCTGAAGGTTGGGTCCAGTCTCTCACAGTAGTCTCGGTGAAGGGTCAGGATTCCATAGGAGACTCTCCAGTCACAGGGTCAGTCACGGTGACATCCCTCCAGCCGTCCTGAAAATGTGCAGAACACCGCACTGCTCTTGATCCCTGCTTATATTACTGTCCAGCGGGCGCTGTGGAGTTCCAGTCCTGTGTCTGGATCTCTTGAGTGAGTGATGTCACGGGGTTCTGGTTATCAGGTACAGCCTGGGGATATTTTGACATGTCTAAAGGGCATTTTGTATTATGCCCATCACAGTCCATCCCCTGGTCCTTGGGGCATACACAATGCTGATGAGGACCACAAATGAGAATTCTTTTAACGTAACGCTTTCATTGGTTCTTTGGAAATTTCACATAATGCACTCTGATTCCATCAATTTCTCAGTCCTTCCAGGTCCACCCACTCACTATTATGACCCCCCCCAACAAGAGAAGAAGAAATACCAAGTCCAATTTATGTTGTCCTTATACTTACTGGAGCATGGGGAAACTCCCAGTGGCCACTCTTAGAGAAAACTGAGTCCTTCCCCACCCACACCCCTCCCGGAAGCCATCAGTTGTGGAGAGCTACACTTCAGCATCTTTATCACAAGTTTAAAGAAGTCTCTTCAATGGCTTCCAGTCTAGACTGTTTGCGGGGGTGGGGGGTGGGAGGTGGGGGGATGGGGGAGTGGGAGGCGGGAGAGGGGGTGTTGTCACAGAACTCTTCTATTTCTCAGCCATGAGTCTGCAGTCATCCACACTGCTGCGGAAGAAGCTTCCTCACCCTTTACAGTCAGCGGCTGCACTGTCATGGTCTTCCACATGGTTCCTGGCTACAGCGTGGACCACTGCATCACCGTCTGTAGCTTCGCGGTCTGTAGCTTCACCGTTATTCCCCATGCATCCAAATCTGTGCTGACAGCTTTCCTTCCAATTTCCTGAGTCCACTTTTTAAAAGTACCTTCCCATAGACCTGCCCTTCTCTCGCTTTCCCAGGGACATTGTAGGATCTGCAGACTCCTCTGCCTCCTCGTCACCCCTGGGAGCCTCCGTGGGTCTCTCGGGCTCCCCAGAACTTCTCAGTGGTGGCGGGTGCCGGCTTTGATCATAGTCATGCTTCAGGTTTTCAGCCTCCATAATGATGACATGTTCCTGGAACTGGTTCTGCAGCGCTGGCTCCTCCCCCCGCGCCAACAACTTGTAGAGGGAGTAAACGTTGGGGGGGGGGCATGGCTCGGATTGCATGGCTCAGGCTGCATGACTCGGGGTGCATGGCTGGGGTGCATGACTCAAAGCGCTGGATCTGGGCCTGGGTGGCAGGCCAGCACGTGGTTGGTCTTCCAGGCCGCCGCCCCTATGCACACCTCAGAATCCTTACCATCATAGTTTCACTGCAAGCTGCAAATCCTGGCCACAAAAGAAAAGGGAGAAAGCATACCGTGAACATTCAGTTACTGATAGACAAATTCAAGAAGATAAATCTCAAGCAACAAAGCATAGAGTTGCTGAGCACCCGCCACCACGGAGCACCCACCACCTCGGAGCACCCGCCACCACGGAGCACCGGCCACCACGGAGCAGTCCTGGGGAATCTGAGAGACCCGTGGAGGCTCCCGGGGTAATGGGGAGACAGAGGAGGCTGCAGAACAAGATGGAACCAGTGTCTGGTGGTGCAGCAGAAGAGACTGGTAGTTATTCCTCTGGCCTATGGATACTGTCCTGGCTAGTTTTATGTCAACTTGACACAAACTAGAATCATCAGAGAGGAAGGAGCCCCAAATGAGAAAATACATCCATAAGACAGGGCCTGGGACCTATAGGGTATTTTCTTAATTAGTGATTAATACAGGAGGGCCCAGCCATGGTGGATAATTCTATCTCTGGGCTGGGGTTCTGGGCTCTATAAGAAAGCACACTGAGCAAGCCTTGAGAGCAAACCTAGAAGCAGTACCTTCCATGGCCTCTGCATCGGTTCCTGCCCTGTCTGAGCTCCTTGTCCTGACTTCCCACAGGAGGCACAGTGATGTGGAAGCCAGATAAACCCTCTTCTTCCCAAGGTGCTTTGCTCATGGTGTCTCATCACCACAACAGTGACCCCGACTAAGACACGTAAATTTCCAAGTTTGTACTTTCTCAAGGTTTGATACAGTCAAGATGAAAAACACAGTCAGAAATAAAAGGTAATGCGATCACTTTCAAACAAAAATGTCGTAGAGTTAAGGGGGTGTAGCGGGGTTGGGGCTGTCAGACTAAGCTAAGCCAGTCACAGTAGAGCATCATCCCATTAGCGCAGTGTCAAGCAGGAGCATGTGGGTCAAGGCTGTGGGCCAAGCATTTCTTCTTTTGCTAGAGAAAAGAGCAACCGAGAGCACAGTGGGCTTCCTAATTAGCTCCCAATGCTGTTTCTCAGTTTCGTGTAGATGAATATGGTAAAGCAGGCGTGGATACAGAGCATCGGAAAGTCTGGTGAATCTCAGGAAGCATCCATCTTGGGTCTGATACCAGCATATACAGGCCGCCTCTTCTGACAGAAATGACATTTTCTTGCTGGGGTAGAACCAAGAATACAGAACATAATAGTCCTGGTTTGTAATGTCACCGAGGAAATGAAGCATCTCCCAAAGAAGGCTCTCCGGTCACAGTTTGGACAGATGTGTTTGCTGGAATCATGCATAGCCACTGTGTCCCTGCTGGTGAGATAGTCTCTGGGGTTCACTGCCACAGTTCTTCCAGAAGTGAAGTTTGCTAAACAAGCTCCAACGGATCAGAAGGAGTTTGCATGCCAAGAAAAGCCAATATGATGTATACAAAAAGCCGAAGTCTTTCCTTTATCCAATAGAAAATGTTCCACATGAGGAAGCAGTGACAGCCATTCCCTAAATCTTCACAGTGAGCATGCTGAGCATAGAATGCTCTCCTGGCATCTGAGGCTGAGATGTTCGTGGTCCCAGTATTCTAATAGAAACCCACCCAAGATGTGGTAAGGTAAGTCACCAACATCATACTTTACCCTTGGTTTACTTGCCATGACTTCTCTTCTTTAAGTCTCCGGTATTCTGTCCCTGTAAACATATTTTATGGAGATTTATTCTGCCTGGTCCAGAAATGTCTGGTGGTTGTTCTAGCTCTAAGTCTGATTTAACAGCTTTTTCTAAGGGAGAAGCTCTGTTCAGTCTCGGTCTAGTATTTAATTCATAGCACGTGATTGCAATAGCCCTTTCCAAGGTGGTAACAACTTGGTTTGCAGCAGTCCCTTCTGTCTTTCTGCATTTCCAGTTGCAGTTGGGTTATAGGCTAGATGGAAGGCCCATTGTATGCTCATAGTCCCAGACCACCTCTGGACTTTAGAACCTTCAAGTATGTTCCTTGATCTGACTTGATAATTATTGAGCAGCCGGATCTGGCTTTCCAACACCAGAGTGTGTACATTGTTACCGACTGGTCTGGTCTATGCCTTTCTT